TTTTTCCAACAGTTGAAAGCTTTATCAGTCAACATATACATTGGCTGGCAATATGGTCCCTCAGTAATGCTTCTGAAGTTATTCATTTGTACACCTTTCTTCCCATGTGACTCCATTTGGCTATGAGCTGTTTATCACTCACTGGCTCTGTCACTGTGTGCATAGGGACAAGCGTCTCAGATAGACTTTAACAGTCACGTTGGTCTTGCTAATTGTCTGCCCTTCTCTGTCCTACATAAAGGTGAAGCTGTGTTTGCACGTTGCCTGTCTTCCCTCAAGGATGAGAGAATACAGGCCAGTAAGTTATTGGATGGGCCTAAAATGACTCAATTCAGTGGGAACAAAAAGGCCTTTCTGGAGGACATACGCAAGGTTTGTCATAGTGCTTGCGCTTGCCGGAGTGCTGTATTAGAGTTGCAGATCAAAGCAGGTTTTGGATGCTGTAAACCCTGGCAGGGCATAACTCTGAGGAGCTCTTGTGTTTCATGACAGTTGGTTCCTGCTTTTCATCGCCCCATAGTGCATTGTCCAGTGGTGTCTGCACAGCAGAATGTGACCAGTTCCTTTACTGACAATAGAAAATCCTGAAAGAATTCAAGTCTAACATGCGGGAAGTGACAACTAGCTGGGATGCAGAGTTCATGATTCCTGCACAGCAGCTCCCTCTTTCCCCCTCAATGTTCCTGCCATTGGAGTGAGGATGATATCTCTTGATCTCTTTCTGCTGAGTCAAAACTTTCCAACAATTGGAAAGGATATTTAGCTCCTCAGATAGTATTTGCACTTTAGTAATATATCCTAACTATTGGGGAAGGGGAAGTGGCCAGTAAAAGGCTTTGGAAGTGGAAGTAAACTCTTCCTTTGTGTCCCTTTCATAGATATCTGCATAAGCAGGGTAGTATTAGTCTTATGTCACCGAATCCTGACTAAAAAGCAAGTTGGATTAGGTTATTCATTGACATTTAGGTATTAGTTTGGTAACTATTAACGCAAGAGAGAATATATGAGCTTTTTTTTTTTTTTTCCCCTTCTGAAGTTCACCATCAGAATTTCAGGGGAAAGAAATCTGTCATGTACTGTTCTTGATCCATTGCCTGCGTTGCAGAGAGAAAAAGTATCGTTCAGTAAGTGATATTTATCCACCAAAGAGGTGAAACGTGCTACTCAACTCAGCCCTGATGAGATACAGACTAAACAGAGCATGCAGACTGTGAACTTTCTTGTTCAACTTTGTGCGCCTTCACTAAATTTGAATTTGTTTTTCTAGGCCCTGTATGCTTCCAAGATTATCTCATATGCCCAAGGTTTCATGCTGCTCAGACAAGCAGCCAAAGAGTTTGGATGGACGCTCAATTATGGTGGAATTGCACTGATGTGGAGGGGAGGCTGCATCATTAGAAGGTAATTGGGACAAGGAGTGCTGATGGGAAGCAGAGGCAGTGTAGTTTATGCAGTGCTAGACTAACAAGCCTAGAGATTGTCTTGGAAAATCCTTGGAGTTAATCTGCTGATAAGATACCGACAGACTGTTTCTGTAGTCAGCACTGAAGATTACCAGATGAAGCCAATTTCCTGGTGGCTTAGCTACTTCAGATTTTCTTTCATCTTTGTTTTGTTTGCATCTTTCCTGATGCTTGCAATCTGAGTCTGGCTGAGTCAAATCTTGGCACTGTCATTTTTGGATTCTGGGCCATTGCTGAAAGCTATGAAATCTGATTCCCGGTTTGTGTATGTTCTGCGTAGTGTGTTCCTGGGAAAAATCAAAGATGCTTTTGATCGAAACCCCAAGCTCCAGAATTTGCTGTTGGATGATTTCTTTAAGACAGCTGTTGAAAACTGTCAGGTGAGTTTCCAAGGAAGGAAGAGCATAAAAGAAAGAGTTTACGGTCTGGACTCCTTCAGCTTCTTTCCCAGGAGTTCCTGTCGCAAATGTATTTAGACTGAAGAACGAAAAGGCAGAGAGAACATCTTTGAAACCTATTTGTACAGCCTCCTTAATCCCAAAGATCTCTAATCCCTAAGCTCTTTGGGACTTTGTATGTGTATCTGTACACACATAATGTATGGGTCTAGGAATTAATCATCTGTGGCTTAAAGGTACCCTTCTTGAGTAGAACACACCTGTCTTGCATGAGTAGGACAGGAATGAAACCATGTAGTTGGAGCTAATTGAAATTGCACGAGGTTACTGTAGTGAGGTAGGCTATACTGAGGTCCAAATTACAGTTTTGCCAGGTGCCAGAGTTAGTGATCTGTCCTTGAAAAAATGCCTACAAATGTGTCTTGCCACTGTTTCATCAGAAAGTTGGAGAATGTTAGTTCTAAATAAAGGAATAAAGGAGTTTTGCATCTCTGAAGCGCTACCTTATAAATCAGCATCCAGATGCATCAAGCAGTGAACTGAGATCCTGCTGGACTTACGACTTGGAGTGGATAATGCTGTATGAAAAATAAATTATTCTCTAGATATGCTATTACATCTCGGATGTAACTAGTGTGCCTCATTGTAACGTTACGAGGTATATTTGTACTGTCAATGTAAAGGTAATGCACGGGCAAAATACATGAACATACGGTCCGTGCCATGTCACATTACTTCTCTTTGATACTAGCAGAGCTGTCGTTAGAAACTTAAAGGTTTTCATTTTACTATTACAGAACAGTCTTAAGTAGGAGTATAGCAATTTAGAAGAACCACAATGTCAGGAAAACATGTCTAGCCTGTGTGAAAATTCTCATCGCTGCACCTGTCTTGTGCTTGCTGTGCACTTGGATTTCAGTAGTACAGAATATAAAGCTCTGCTCTGTTACCATTGTTTGCAGTAGCACCAAACTAACAGTGTCCCAGAACCCCCTTTCACTAGACTTAGGTCTGTCCAAACAATGTCCTGATTTGGGCAGGAGAGGAGAGGCAGAACTAAAAACGGATTATCCGACCAACAAAGAAGTCATATTTTACTGTTCCTAATTCTTTTTACTGAAGCTGAATGTTCAGTGCAAATTACTAAATCAGATGTGAAGTTGAAACGAGGATTATCCACGTCTATTTCAAGTAATGTGCGGGCCTCTTATGCCTTTGGGCGATCTTTGTGCTGGGCGTAATTATATGTACTGAATTAAATGTACCTCACTGTTTGCTCAGTATTCTCCCTGCTGTGTCCTCACTTTTGGGATGCATTGCTGATATTTATGTGAAGGAGCAGCATCCTTGCCTGAGGTTGTGGTTTAATTGTACGTGAAGTGTATGTCTGTACTTTGTGTTCTATCTGCTAACTCCATTTTACTGGATAGATGCTTATTTTGGATCAATCATTTCTATATAAAATCAGGAATCTCTTGCTGCGCATTGGCTCAAACTTGCCCGTTAGCTTTTATACAATGTGAGATAGCACCTGCTTTTAGACTGGAATAGTCCATATGCCTGCACGTGGCTCTGAGGAAACTGCAATTAGTTTCCTTTTTTTTTTTTCCTCTTCCAGGACTCCTGGCGACGTGTAATCAGTACTGGAGTCCAAATCGGTATCCCTATGCCCTGCTTCACTACGGCACTTTCTTTTTATGATGGCTATAGACATGAGATGCTACCAGCTAACCTGATTCAGGTAGGTGCCTGAGATAGCGCAGATCTTCTGGAAACTGAATGATCACCGTGATGTTATTTAAATACTAATCTAAAGTCAGTGATTCAGGTATGTCCTACTCACTCCTCCATCGTTAAAATAAAGATACAGATTGCCAAATGGAATTCTGTTGAACCTGAAAGTGAAGTCAATAAAATACCTTGAGATGTCTGGACAAAGAGTACCAGGGTTATTGGTGTGACAGTGCCCAGCATCTGTTAGCATTCTGTCTGTGAACCACGGGTAATGATACTGAGTTTTCTGTAAAGCATTTTGATCCTAGGTCTTTGGATGTACGTCAGTGCTTGTCTTTTAGATTAGTAACTAGCAGAAGTGAATACACTTAAGTCTTTCTACTGAGCTCTTACTAACTAGATATTAATAAATGTTTCATTGCATTGTTTTCGCTAATAATAAGAGAATAAGTTTGAATGTATAATACTGGAGCCAGATCTTACTTCTATATTCATATAGCGGAGTCTCAGTATGTGCAACTTCTAGTGCTTGTATGCGACTGTGATATTCCTGTGTGTGTTCTTATTCTAGGCTCAGCGTGATTACTTTGGTGCGCATACATATGAATTATTATCGAAGCCAGGCGTATTTATCCATACTAACTGGACAGGTCACGGAGGAAGCGTGTCCTCTTCTGCCTACAATGTCTAATGGAAGCATTTCCTCTTGAAGCCAAGATACTGTAGATCTCGGATAGCCCTCCTCGGACCCCCCCTTTTTAATGTACTGTATTACAAGCTGTGTCTGGGCACTTTTGTAATAACTTGTGGGTATATGTCATATATATCATATAAAAAAGCAAAATAAACTTCCGTTTAAATGTATTGCGGCATTTTTATTTCTCCTGTTGGTGGCCAAAACTGTCTAAAAACGTCCTTGTGCAGCAGTCTTTCATAGAATGCATTTTAATATGGTAATATTTGTTATTGTGTTATAGCGCATAAGCTCATAGGGATCAAGACAGAGAGGACTGCGTTTCAATAGCGGCTAAAGCGGAGATTGGCAGACAGTCAGCATAATAACGCCGCACAAGATTCCAGGCAGGTAAAGGGCTTGTGTTATGTTGTTAATTTATTTGTAACAGGAGGTAGCTTGCTTCCTAAAGTTTAATCCCTGGGCGTGCGCACGGTCTGTCACACTGTGAGCTCTCTGTTTTCCCTGAAAAGCTGAAGGGTGGGATGGATCACAGAGAAACTGAAACGCGGATCCAGGCTGTGAAGATATTTCAGGATTGATACTCCTGTCACCAAGGCATTTCGCCCCCACTTAAGGTCCCAGTCTATGCCAGAGCTTAAAACCGCTGGGTTATCTGCGTTCTTTTAAGTCTTTTTCCCCAAACCTCCCTACTTATTGCCTCCTCGTGCCATGAGGCAAATGAAACGTCTGTAGTAGGACGCAAACGCGGCCCTAATTATTTGATGTCCGTCCCCTCCAGTCATCCTTAGGACGAGTGGAAAACTCACCTAGGTGCTTGTTCTTTTTTTCCCCTAAAGCATATCAAGTGTTAAATTTTGCGCTGCGCCCTGATTTTTATATTTTGCTCTATTTGTTTCTGCTAAGATACTTAGTAGTTATTGACTGAACGTCAGCATGACTAGCAAGAGAGGAGTTTCAAATTCAAGCAGCTTTTTTGCAGGGCCTGCGTCTGCTATAGAGCTAGGAAGTCCGCTAAACAACGCGACATCATCGATAGGTTAACCGAGCAATCGCAGGCAACGGTGATAACTCTGAAGGGCCACCACTATTTCAGCGGTCAGTTGGCCCCAGCCCTTGGGTTTCACGTCCTCCGGCTCAAACTACCCGAGAAAGCCGTGCTCC